GATGTTGATATTTCAACATAGATATTTTTTTAATTTATATTTTATTACGTTTTACTAATCTAGGTGAAAGATTAATATATATTGCTAGTCTGTGTACAGTATGAGAAGCCATATGCTAAATAATAATAGCAGGAAATGTCTGTGCTGTCAGGGATCAAATCCCGAAGACACAAGTTTGATCTAACTAAAGCGGTTGTAACCCAGGCGAAATCAAGGAGAGAATTCCTCAAAGCCTGGATTTCCACCAATATGTCAATAAACAGGCACATTGACATCAATCCAGTCTAGCAATTGCTGAGAACGAAAGAACTCTGTTAACCATGCTCCCAAATGAACAAACAGCCACCCCACTACATAACAACAAAAATCATAACCCATCCATTCACAAGAAATTCACATCCAAAGGTGGTATTCAGCAGGTTCTGACCAGTTCTGGAGAACCGGTAGCAGAAATTTTCAGTAGTCTGGAGAACCGGCAAATATCACTTCTGACTGGCCCCGCCCCCATCTATTCTCTGCCTCCCAAGTCCCAGCTGATTGGTTGGGTCTTCTTTTGTTGCCCTGCACAGGAGAACGGAGCTGGAAAGCAGGTTAGTGGAGTGGGGAGGGAATGGGGATTTTACAGTATCCTTCCCCTGCCACGCCCACCAAGCCATGCCATGCCCACCAAGCCATGCTCACAGAACCAGTAGTAAAAATTTTTGAATTCCACCACTGATCACATCCCATTAACAACAACCAGCCAGAAACCAGACTATGACTCAGAAGCATCCGAACAGACGACACTAATTTACATTATACAAATGATAGCTAAAACCAAAGATCATGTCTTGGTAACAACAGTTACCAGTTAACATCCAGTCAAACAGTCCAAAATCAGGCCATGACTCCGAAATGGCTGAACAAACAACACCCACACTTATCTGCATCTTATAAAAAGCTATTTAAAGACTAGTGGTTGGACAGAGGAACACAATTCCAAGCGCACTGACGTCGTCTCCTCGAATGGTGATGAAACATTGGCAACCAAATTGCCAAGCTTGGAGCTCAGACCAAGAACCCAGGGATCAAATCTAATGGGCTGCTCCTTTTTATTTAAACATTATCAAGAGTCTGTGTCATTTCTACTTCTTCTGGATCACAAAGTAGGATTAATTATTGGGGCATGTATTTTAACTATCCTTCCTGTCTTTCTTATCAGATCCCATCCCGGATGTAAAAATGGGGAATACCAATTGAACTAGGGTTGTTTACATTTCATGTCCCACAACTTTCCATTTTGTTCTCTCTGCTATTCAATCTCAACATGAAGCCACGTTGTAAGGTAATCTGGAGTTTATTAGTGTGATATCAGTAATGAGGTAAGTAAACTGGAATCAAATAATAGGGTAACATCCAGATCCAAGGAAGCAATTGATTAGATTACATAACACGCAAGAAAAAGTTGATGTTAAAATAAGAGAAAGCTGTTGTTATATCTGAAAATTACATATAGTAAGTTACACCTGAGAAAAGGAGGAACAGGAGGGAATCCATGTTTATCTGATATATGACCTGTGCAATGATGACTGGACAGGTATATAACTGAATCTAACAAACACATTATGTTTTGTAACTCGTTATGTTCTAAAAATAAAATGTCAAGTTCTTGGCTGGAATCAGGGTTTGTAATCTTGTCTTAAAGATAAATGTGAGAGATGCTAGAGTCATTCTGACCCAATGGAAACCTGTTAGTGATCCATCATGCTTCGATGGACATAAAAGGAAGACACAGCCATGAGAACGTGGGTAGTTTCCAAGGACAAGGAAACAGGTGTTACGCTACAATAATATGGGTGTGGCATAGGGAGCTATATAGCTTGGATTGATTGTGAACCCAGGAAAGGGGCAGAGGGTGTATATTTGAACCTGTATATAAACCCCAGCCCTCCTGGGGAAAATGTCTTCTGCCATGAGAGCAGAATTCCCTTTTGCAAAAGCTTAATAATAAGGCTCTTGTTCACGTGTCCCCAGATTTCAGTTCTTTTTGTGATTATTATCACAGCTGTGCTGTTGGAAGACAAATACAGGATAGTCCTCAACTTACGACCACAATGGAGCCCCAAATTTCTGTTGCTAAATGAGGCAGTTGTTAAGTGAGTTTTGCCCCACTTTACAAACTTTTTTGCCATAGTTATTAAGTGAATTGCTTCAGTTGTTAAGCTAGAAACATGGTCATTAAGTGAATCTGGCTTCCGCCTTTGACTTTGCTTGTCAGAAAGTCGCAAAAAGGGGATCACATAATCACAACAGTCATAAATACGAGTCAGTTGCCAAGCAATTGAATTTTGGGTCATGTGACCATGGGGATGCTGCAACAGTCGTAGGTGCGAGAAATGGCCCTAAGTCACTTTTTTTTCAGTTGTAACTTTGAACTTTGTCACTAAATGAACTGTTGCATGTCGAGGACTACCTGTAACTGGAAAGGGAACATGAGAGCAGAAGTCCAAACTGGTTGAATGAGGTTACACCTGAGAAAAGGAAGAACAGGAGGGAATCCATGTTTATCCGATATATGACCTGTGCCCTTGAAAAAGCACTTCTGCGGTTCTAGAATGTTATTTTACCTCAGGTCTCATGAGGTAGCAGCTGTTACAAGAAGGACCTGAGGCAAATGTTAGTGAATGGCCGCAGCACCTCCTGAGAATCAAGCAAAGTAATGAGTAGGGCACAATTAGTAGTAATTCTGTTTCCCTGTGATAAATCCTGTGCGCCTATTGGGGCTTTGAAATATCACCAAATGAGAGGATATTCTCTCTAAGGACAGCAAGATAATTTTAGTCCACAATGAAAACAATAGAATAGAATAGAATAGAATAGAATAGAATAGAATAGAATAGAATAGAATAGAAGGATACAAGGAATTTGTCTGTGGTGCAAATGCTCTCAGTGTACATAAAAGAAAAGATACATTCGTCAAGAGTCAAGAATCATAAGGTACAACACTTAATAATAGTCACAGGGTACAATAAGCAATCAAATCATACTAGGAAACAGTCAATATAAATCGTAAGGGTACAAGCGACAAAGTTATAGCCATATAGTCACAAGTGTGAGAGGATGGGTCATAAGGAGTGATGAGAAGATTAATAGTAATAGTAATGCAGACTTAGTAAATAGTGTGAGAGTGTTGAGGAAATTATTTGTTTTGCAGAGTGACGGCGCTCAGGAAAAAACTGTCCTTGTGTCTAGTTGTTCTGTTGTACAGTGCTCTGTAGCGTCATTAGAGCAGTCTAATTAAGAACAATTTCTTCCCTCTAGGAAATGACCAGGTCAACATGTCTGTAGAGATTCTCTGTCATCCAGGTCATGGTTGTCCCAAAGGTGGTTTTTGAAAAGGCAACTGGACTTGGTTTTTCTTCAGTCAGAACTGAAGAAAGCTTCTTGGATGAAAAGTGAAACGTCTTCAAGGAAAAACAAAATCCAGTGGCCTTTTGAGGAAAAAAAAAAAGCACCTTTGGTACAACCAGGTCAACATTTCCTCTAATAAACAGAGTTGTTTGTTTTTTTACTAGAAAATACCTTTCCCACTGAATTGAAGTCAGGGTAAAGATGAAGTCTTTACTTCATTTACCTGTGGAGGCCACATTCCTGGCATTTTCCAGCATAACTTCGTTGTACAGGATTTTTTGGTTGAAGTCTAACAGATCCCACTCCTCCACTGAGAAGAAAATAGCTACATCATCAAAGGACAGAGAATTCTGCAATAGGAAGAAATAATTCCCAATTAATCAACAGCTCCAGGAAGGATTTTCAAGGTCTCTTTTAATTGATTGATCCCAACATTTATTTCAGGGTAAATATGCATTTTTCCTGGACATAGGAAGACATCAAAGTCCCTGAATGACAATTTGTTCAACCCTATATTTTTCCAGATGAAGGCATGAGAAGACCTTGGGTTTACTATCCACTACAGCTGAATGAAGCGTTGGGAAATTCCTATTTGATATTTTAACTGACAGTTTATGTTATCCCTCAGGGACCAATGTATTTATCCCACAATAGCTATGTGAATTGTCTCCAGACAAGATGGATGGCATGAAAAAAGAAAGAAAGAAAGAAAGAAAGAAAGAAAGAAAGAAAGAAAGAAAGAAAGGAGGGAGGGAGGGAGGGAGAAAGAGAAAAGAAAAGGAAGAAAGAGAGAGAGAGAGAAAGGAAGGAAGGGAAAAAAGAAAGGAGGGAGAGAAAGGGAAGGAAGGGAGAGAGAAAGAGATAAAAAAGAAAGAAAAAAGAGGAAGGAAGGAAAAGAAAAGGGAAAAAGAAAGGAAGGGAGAGAGAGAGAAAGAGATAAAAAAGAAAGAAAAAAGAGGAAGGAAGGAAAAGAAAAAGGGAAAAAGAAAGGAAGGAGAGAGAGAAAGGGACAGAAGGGAGAGAGAGAAAGACAAAGGAAGAAAGAGGAAGGAAGGAAAAGAGAAAGAAAGAAAGAAAGAAAGAAAGAAAGAAAGAAAGAAAGAAAGAAAGAAAGGAAGGAAGGAAGGAAGGAAGGAAGGAAGGAAGGAAGGTGGGAGGGAGG